AAACCCGGCGTATAAACCACTCGGCCACGGAGGTCGTCTGATTTTCTAAGCATTTGTTTTTCAGAAGATGCAGCAGCGGTAAAGTTAATGGGGCCGTCGTTCAAAGATATGCCAAAACAATGAAAGCTCGGCTTCTATACAACTTTGACACGAAAATATTATGTTCATTTTAATTTCACGAACAACGATTTGTTAAGTTTTTCCTTACTAACAACAGTATCACAAGGCATTCATAATATCATTACGGATTCTTTAGCAAATGCTTTGTTTAACAATTTTTGGAGGATAACATTTTTAACACGCTTTTATTAGGTCCACTTAATAACAACTTAACTTTATTATGACACACAATAAAATTGGAAAGGTTGTTGATTTTCAATATATTGGACGAAACATAGTAATGTTTTATTTTACCGTATTATAATAATAAGTCTCTATCTAGGACGTCCACGTGGCAGCTTTATTGCGAAGAAAATGCATTTTTTTACAATAGATGTCGCTAAGTGCGCTTAAACGTGATTCATGTAAGTTGATTTTTCTGAAAGATAAACTTGTTTAATGTAACATAAATTGTCATGTTTGTGTACGATAGCGCAATAAATAAATATTGTATTCTACCACATACATGATAGAACTTTTATACTGATAATTAAAGCAATTCGTGCAAAATTATTCCCTAATCATTCCAAAATATCAAAAATGCACAACGTTAATATTCAAGTTTTTACTTCTGCCGGCACTCCCGGAGTGCAACCCGTCTTTTTTTTTTTTTTTTAATAAGGAATAAGTTATAAGTGCTCATTTGAATTTTAATAATAACTAAATAAGGAAGTATTTATATGATATAGCAGCCCTCTGTGGATAAAATCAACGTTGTTTTGGTTATAGCTGGCGAGATAACACGTGTTATCTGTAGCTATTTGAGTAAGCCCAGCCGGACCGCAGCCGCGCGCTTGCCGATTAGCGAATCACAATTATATATTGATAGCTTTGAGGAAGCTATAAACAATAACGTTTAATGCGGACCACTAAACAAACAATCACATAACTAATAACGCTTTTATTGTTCTACAACAATAAGAAAATCTTGCCTCTTTAGTTAAAATAAATAGCTAAATTTTTCCACGTTTTAATGGTCAAGAAAACTGTTTTAATGTGGATAGATAGGTCCTTGAAATTTTGCCTTTGCTAACATCGCAGATGAGATATAACTGGCTATTAATAGGCTGATGATGATGATGATGAGTATTTTTCTAAAGACGACATACTTACGTATAGATTGTCAAACAACAATGTCTTTTTCAATGCACTTTTTGTTACCTGCTAAACGTAGAATCTCCGACACCACCTATAGGTTGGCTAGAAGAGATCTCTTTTAATGATAAGCCCACCTTTGCGTACTACTTTTTTTTACGTTGTGTTATTTTTATCCAATAAAGAGTGTAATAATGTAATAGTTGTAATAACCAAACAGCTGTGTCACATAAATTATGACAGCATCGATCGCTGCTTACGTTGACATTTTAGTTCAGATATAAAATTAAATTATTAAAGTTATAAAAACAATTGTGATAAATATTTAAAGGGTAATATTTATATGATCCTTAAAAAAATATAATTGACTAGCGGCTCGCCCTCGCTTCGCTTCGGTGTAGAACTGAAGTGTAGACTACAGTTTTTGTTCTCAGGCTTGTATTATACACAATGATATTCATCTATGATTCTTCTTATACCTGCAGGCAAAGTCTCAGCTCGATCGGTTTAAAATTGACAAAGTTTCATACAAACTTCAATTCCCTATTTTATCCTCTTGGGGGTAGAATTGATCAAAATACTTTCTTAGCGGATGCCTACGTCATAACATCTACCTGCATGCCAACTTTCAGCCCGATCCGTCCATTGGTTTGGGCTGTACGTTGATAGATCACTATGTCAGTCACCTTTGATTTTTATATATATAGAAGATTACCTTAATTCGGTATTAATTTTATTACTATTTTTTTATGATCATTTGTGTAAGTATATCATCAATATAATATGATAGAGTTTTTGTTGAAAATTGTGGGATAATAGATTTGTTTCGAGGAATGTCTTCAAACTAAATGTGGTCACATGATCATCTCCAATATGAAGGATCCATTCTCGAAGATTTTAAAAGTCAATAGTATTTTGAACAGTATAGCATTGTCTTTTTAAAAGTCCCAATATTTTTAACTTACGAATCCGTTAGGATTTCGTTAAGTTTCGCAAACTTTACTTGTATCCTTTAAAGATGTTGAATACTTATTTAGTATGTATCTCGAGTCGAGCACCTGCGTGTACTGTCCTTCATGCGTCCTCAACCGCTACCGAAGGTGAAGGTATTACATTAAAAGCGGACGCGACCTGAGAGACATTTGAGAAATACGTATTTGAAATAATAGTTATATGTATTTAATTCAATCATGTTTAACTACAACTTAATATAACAATATTCTCAAAATATTTGTTAATTATTTGCTATTCAACAGACATAATCTTTGCGTTACAGTTCCTACGAAAATCTGTAGCACTACAGAGAAAGCAATTTCACAAATTATTACGACTAGAAATCTTTTTTTGATAAAAAAATAATATTTAACGGAAAATAGTAAATTGTATATTGTTTTAAACTTTCATGGTCACTAACATTATAATAATATAAATTATTTACGGGATTGTTACCATGTACCTTGTATTTAGCGAGTTTCCGATATTTGGGCACTGTTGCAAGCGCCATGATCACGGAGTAACTAAAGCTGTTATTGGCAGATATATCGGTCATGCTTGCTTTTATGTATTCCCTCATTCGGTATCATACCGAATGAGAGAACACATAAAAGCAATCAAGAACAACGATAAGCAGAAATCAGCCATCGCGAAACATTTGATTGATTCTGGTCCTAACCACTGGATTGAGTTTCACAACCCACAGATTATCTCGACAGAAGCCACTACATACCAAGATTGGTCAGGGAAGCGATTGAAATAACAAAACATAAAATTTCAATCGTGAGGACGGGTTTAAATTGTCGAGTGTATGGAATCCTGTGGTTCGTATGTGTAAAACCGGAACTAATCAAAAAGTGTCGTGTCGCGATCCGTTACTGTAAGTGTTGTGTGTCGAGAACAGTTTCGAGTGAATAGTGAGAATGTGAACAGTGGTACGGGTATCGAACGCAATAAAAGACTTCGTCGGAGGGTAGACCGATATGTCTGCCAATAACAGCCTACCCGCAATTACTTCAGTTACTCCGTGATCATGGCGCTTGCAACAGTGCCGAAATATCGGAAACTCGTTAAAAACAAGGTACATGGTAACAATCCCGTAAATAACTTATATTACTATAATAAGACCAACATCTCAACGATACATACCTATCCCAAACTATATCTATTCCTCTCCACATACACACACACTCTAACACACACGCACACACACATGCACACATACGCACGTACGCACACACCAACACACACACGCACGCAAACACACATAGACAGACATACACATACATACAATATTGATTTTAATTTAGTATTTATAATTGATTTCATTACGTTTGTTTTGTTACAAATAATAATTACATATAAATTATTAATGTGGCGCCATCCTATTTATTATATTTGGGTGCCCACGATACAGGTTTCTCCTAGTGTGGGACCCACAGTCAATGCTACAGTATTGTTACGTTTAGTCAAATAAAAAAATACACCTTTTTAAAATTAGATGTTCATTAAAGCTGCCTAAAAAGGTCTCGACCGGATACACAATGTGAAGCAATTAAATCAAACTTAAGGAAAACTTATTGCGGTCGTTGACATTATAGCGAGAATATCTAACAATAATTAATTGTTATAAAAACAATATTATATGTATCAACTTGAGTATTTTATAATTATAAAATCTATTTTATTTTGTCTTTATTTATGAAATATGAAAGTCGGGTAAGATTCATGTCACGACCTTTTATAAATGCGAAATAGGGACGAAAGTGGGCGCTACGACAGCAGATGCAGCCGGGACCAACGGCTTAACGTGCGCAGGAACTTAAAATCTAAAATTTTTGCTTACTCATTCTATTGATCCTTTTACCGATATATTGTGACCGCTGCTGACCAAAGCGCCATTGAACTCCTAACGTAGGATTGTCATTATTACATCCTATTAATGTCCCCACTGCTGGGACACAGGCCTTCCCTATGGATGGAACAGGGAGATTGGGCCATGATCCACCACGCGGGCTCAGTGCGGATTGGTGGGTGTTAACGACTGCAGATGCAGCCGGGACCAACGGCTTAACGTGCCTTCCGAAGCACGGTCACACGATCGCACGATCCAATGAGCGACTGCGAAAGTTGCTTAACTTCAACTATTGCAGCCGAACGCGCTAACCACTGGCGCCGTCGAGATCCTCGCATTTACTTGGCACATATACAGAGCGTCCCGCGGCTACCTCACACGGAGGGAAAGTATATTAAATATTGGAGATAGGGTTTTTTACTGAAAGAAGACATCATTTTATTTTTAACAATAACTGGGAATCGAACTCGTGAAATAATACACAACATATTTTATGATAACCATCAAAAGGGTTAAACATAAGGATTATTTTTTGCTTAATAACATTTAGCAAAAAATACTACATACTACAAAAATAATACGTACTTTCCCTCCGCGTGAGGTAGCCGTGGGACGCCCTGTATATTGTGGGTGTATGGTGGTGACAAGGGCGGATCCAGGGGGGGGGGGTCATGGGGTCATGACCCCCTCTGGGCTGGGTACAGATGGACCAAACCCAGGGGGATTTTATTTAAGTACTTTCAATATTTAATATACCACGACTATATGACCCCCCCTGGCGCCAAAGCTGGCTATATGACCCCCCCTGGCGCCAAAGCTGGCTATATGACCTCCCTCTGGCGCCAAAGCTGGATTCGCCCTTGGGTGGTGAGTTGTTGTGTAACGGCGGGTGCCTCAGATGTCGGCGAGTGCGAGGAGGGCGCGGGCCGCGAGTGCGTCAACTGCGGCGCCAGCAACACGCCGCTGTGGCGCCGCGACGCCACCGGCCACTACCTGTGCAACGCGTGCGGCCTCTACACGCGCATCAACGGCGTCAACCGGCCGCTCGTGAGGCCCGCCAAGCGGCTGGTGAGTCCGTGCCGTGTCTGGTAGTAACCGCTCTCCCTGCTCCCTGCTCCAGGTGCCGACGCCGAGCTGCTGTCGCGCTTCTATAAGGACGGCTCCGTGCACAGGTGGATGAGTGTGGAGGGCATGGCCCGCGGCATGAAGAAGGTGAGTCGGTGGCGTGTAGACTAGTGCATGCTCCCGCGGACTCTGCCGCGCGTGCGCGCTGTCCTTCCCTTCCTACCCCCTTTTCTCACTTTGTTATGGCTTTTGCGGGTGATAGGAGACTACACGCTACCGCTCTCCACTCTAGTCTAGCGCAGCCGGCCGTCGGCGTCGATCGAGCGCCGAATCCGCACCGCGTTAGATCACATAACTGTTGCCTTTCGGAACGAAGTTTAGGCTCGGAGGGGATAGGGATTTTGCTGCGCGACCGAACTGAAAAAAATGTGATAGTAAACCGTAAGAAAAAAGTGCGCGGAATAAAACCGTTAAATGAGACGTGCGCAGGCGCGACGGTCGCATACACGAGCGAGTTTGCAATTAGTGTCGATTCTACATTAGCCGAAGGAACTTCGTTTCTACCTAGTGTCCCGCGACACCGCATCATTTTTTCTTATTATTTTTAAGAAACACTACGTTATCCGACCGCGTAACGCGGTAGAGTCGAGTAGGATAGTATCAGCCGATCGAGCGGCTCGCGCGGCGATAACTAATCTAGCAGTAATCGTGTCAAAAACTACTTTGGCGAAGCTGCCGCAGCCGGTGTTACGTGAGCGAAGCAATGAGAGTTATTAATGAACCGTTACAATTGAGACGACGACGAGAGACGGCCGGCGGCGGCGGCGATTGGGCGCGCGATGACTGTAGATATGCTTAGATAGGGCATGCGCCGTACGCTGGGTGACGGGACCACTTTACGAGTAGATAAGAGAGCGATACGCGCGCGGTGAGGCGGCGAGGCGGCGGCGAGGCGAGCCCGACCAATGGCCGGAGTCCCCGCCTCTTGCGCCGCGCCGCTATTGTGTTGTAAATAAATAAGCATGCGCATTGGAAATTTATCGCCGCTGTCGGGTAGCATTTACATTAATGTAGATTGTATGCGAGGTGCTGGTGAATACGAATGGGCGAATTAAATATGGCGTTTGTATAGCTTGTCCGCTCAATTTATAATGTTTCGATGCAAGTATAGTAATATTGTAGTGGGTCGAATGAATAAACACATTTCAGTTTAATTTTAAAGTCAGTAGTTCAGTTCGTTGCACTCTTATTTTTACTATGTTTAAGTAATTCACGTAGTTTAAACACTTGACGACGTATTTGACATGTTTTAAACTGTTTTCAAATTAACTTAAATAAATAACCTAATTGTAGATGGACAAGAGATATTAGCTCCATTTCTTTTAGTAAATACGTTAAATTATAACACTTTGGTTGGTTTAAAAGTAAACTTGATTAACAATTAGAACGCTTGAAGGCAATATTATGTAAAGCTGGAAATTGAAGCAAATCTCTGACAAAAACTAATATAATATGTGGTAAGTATATAGTATATATCATGGGCAAATTTGGTGATGCGACTGATTTTCTCTATGCTTTTTATCTTTACTGTATGCTGTAGTGTGCTATAAGGTAAGAAGTTGTAACTTTATTTATGCATGCGCATGAAGAATGATGCTAAGAAGACTTTGATATTAGAATTTCTTTATAAATACATAAAGTGCTTCACCGCACCTGTTGTATAGATGTTGGCACTAGCTCACTGTCTACTCTCACCTTTTCGGCCAGAACCCTGTTTGTGTCTCAGACTATATTCCTTAGCAATATTACTTTAAGCGAGGATACAATCCTGCACATTGTTTTATATGCCTGTATGCAGTCATCCACAAGTTGATTACCTATGTTGATGTTTGATATTCAAATGAACTAATCTTTAACATTAATCACTAAATTAGGTAATCAGAAATATTTGTTCTTGTAACCTGCTTCCTTCGAAAGGAACCGCGGCAGGAGTTTAAGTTTTATTTAAGTTACACATGCACAACAAGCCTCAGGTCGGCAATGGAGGCTAGTTTAAAGAAAACGAGTATTTTGCTCGACCGTGTGTATAAAAATTCCCCCTTGAAACGGTGGTTGTGTTTATTATCTCTGCACTTATAGGTCATATTTTCATAAAAAAATTTGGCAATGACATTTCGTACTCGCAAACTATTCGAATTCGGATTGCTTGAGATATTTAAATTTTGGTCAATTTTCCGCCTATTATCGGCGCACTAAACATAAGGGAGTTATAAGCGCCGCAGTAAATGTATTCTGAGGCCCAAGCAGCAACTTTCACGTCATCATCAAATTTTGTATAGACAGAACCAGTTTATTCTTAAGTCCGATACTTCTCAGTTTTCATATAAACTTTGACTTTACGATACGATTACGAAGCGGTCAAAGTTAGTACTTACTCGGGCCTCTGGTTTTTTTTTATGTTACCCAAAAACCTTCAAAAGAAGAGCGTACTCCTTCCTTAAAGGCCGGCATCGCATTTGTGATACTCCTGGTGTCCCCTGCCCCCTAGCATACGAGCAGACGGCTCACCTGATGGGAAGTGATCACCGTCGTCCATGGACACTTGCAACACCAGGAGTATCACAAATGCGATGCCGGCCTTTAAGGAAGGAGTACGCTCTTTTTTTGAAGGTTTTTAGGTCGCGTCGGTCGTATTGGTGGTTGTACGGCCATCAAGTTCCCCAAGAGAGTTTTAAACTCAGTAGTAAAGGTGTTCTGTGTGTTGTAAGTGTTGTGATATGCGCAGTCGGCGGCGCGGCGGCACGGCCAGTGCTGCACCAACTGCGGCTCGCGCACCACCACGCTGTGGCGCCGCAACAACGACGGCGAGCCCGTCTGCAACGCGTGCGGGCTCTACTACAAGCTGCACGGGATCAACAGGTGACATAGCATTTTCATTATCAGCCTATTAACGTCTCTACTGTTTTTTTATATTATTCAAATGACTAACAAGTCACGGTCCTCCTGGGGTGGCAAAAGTAGCGATCAACGAGGCTTCTAGACGCATGCAAGCCTGCACAACTAGAGGAAGCCTGCGCCATACTGTAAAAAAACCCATAGCGAAGCCAAACGAATGCGAAAATAATAATAATAATAATGGTTTATGTATCTTTAAAGTTAAAATTAAATTAAAATGGCTTGGTAATGCAGAAATACCACCATCGGTCACAATTTTTTACTCGTGATTTTCTGTCAAGAATCAACCCGTAAGGTAATGAGTGGTGTAGCTTGTTGAAACAATTGCACCTTTGCATCTGGACTCCACCACCACTTAACAATAGGTTAAAAATGGTGGAGATTTTTTTTTTATAGATAGGTCCGACAAATGACTCCACCCCACCCGATGTTAAGTGAAGGTAAAATCCAGACGCGAAGATAGCTGATACAGCAGTTCTATCATGTTGCTTCTTCACGCCTCTTTTAAAGGATCCCAGGTTGTAAGAGGGAGGGAACACGCGAGCGGGCAGAGCATTCCATTTACGGATAGTGCGACAAAGAAATGAGTCACCAAATTTCTTTGTACGCGTTGGAATTGTGGCCACAGTAAGAGGGTGACAACGTAGACCAGCGCGCGTGGTCCTCTGAAGGAAAGGGTTTGGTTTTGGTTTTTAGGCGCGGCAGCAAAAGGTTTTTATTCGGACCATTTTAAAATATTTTCTCTTACTGTAGACACACTATCAGAGAAGAGATTAACTTGTGTCCATTCCCTGCAGTCTCCTTAAATTCTAAACAACCTTCTAACACGAGACCTAGATAGGAGAAGTTTTAGGTTTTTGATTATATTTAAAGGAAATACCTAACTTGTTCTTTAAAAAAATATGCTTAATTAATTAATTAAGGATAGTATCTAATCCAACTTTTTATTAAACATTCCAGACCTTTGGCTATGAGGAAAGACGGCATACAAACAAGGAAACGGAAACCGAAAAAATCTGGTAACGGAGCGAAGCCCACGCAGGAACCCTCGAAGAAAGATGGTCACAGCTCACCCAGCATAGACGGTAAGAAATACTAATTAACTTGCTCAGTGTCTTCTGTTCCTATGTCATAGAAGTTGTATAATGCGATTCAACTAAGAATAGGACCGACTGGGCGCCATATTTTTATGTCATAGCTGTCAATTCAAACCAAATAGGTAGTGAGCAAAAAAGTTTTTATTTAATAAAACTTATTTAGGTACTAAGATTAAGTGAGAAAAAGCATCAGATTTTTTAAATAACATTTATTTACTAAGATTGAGAAAAAAAAACCACCGATTTTTAATAATATTTATTTATTAAGACTTACAGATTCTAGACTAGACTCTTATTTACAGAATCTAGCTCTTCTATACCACTCATCTCTGCATTACCGCCGGAGTAGTTATGAATAATTATGAAGTATTACTAGGTCACATACGAACATGCATCCTTTATGTAAAGGAAAGTTCGAAATCGAGTTTCTGAACGCAACTTAAAGTGACATTTGGTTGACGATTTAGATATCAACCATTCTTGGCGAAAGCTCAATAAGTGAAAAAAAAATATCAACCGATATTAATTATCAATATTTGTTATTGTTTGTTTACAAATGTTTGGTTTTTATTCTTGAATTAGCGGAGTGCTAAAAAAGGGTTCATAGTATTTTTTTGCAAACTGTACTTTTCAAGCGACATTTGACAGATAGAGGTCGTTGGCTTTCCTATTCTCATTTGAATCGCATTATACTTTCTCTCGTCATAAAGGATAGGGTACTTTGCTTTTGTAGACATCTTTAAACCTCTATTTATCGATCAACATAAATATGGAATTGTAATAAATTTCAACTAGCTGTTAAATATTTTTAATATAGCACATAAGTTTATGCAGTCTAGTCAGCGTCATCATTAGTCAATTAATGTCTTCACTGCTGGAGCACAGGCCTTCTTTTACGACTTATTGTGCTTTCCGAAATACGGAGGAATTTGAGATACCTAGTACGATTTGCATACTAATTCGATTCCAAAATTTGGCTCCCACGTTCGTAGATCAAATAAGCAATTTGTATTTAAATCTAAAGAAAATATAACTAGAAAAAAATTCCACGCGGACCAGGCAGCAGACGGGACTCGAACCCGCACCCTTCGCAATCCGGGCGAATGCACTGACCAATTATGCTACCGCGGCCCTCACGGACCGCGTCGAAATTCTTTCTAGCTATTCTTAAGCTGCAAGGCAGCGCCATCTCTTCGCATTATAGGTAAACCCACAATGTCAAATGAATACTTTTACAAGTATTAAACATTTGAAAGAAGAAATAGCAATTATAGTTATAATTTTTATTATTTTTAAAGCATGTAACTGCTTGATGTTTAAATCTAAAGAAAATATAACTAGAAAAAATTCCACGCGGACCAGGCAGCAGACGGGACTCGAACCCGCACCCTTCGCAATCCGGGCGAATGCACTGACCAATTATGCTACCGCGGCCCTCACGGACCGCGTCGAAATTCTTTCTAGCTATTCTTAAGCTGCAAGGCAGCGCCATCTCTTCGCATTATAGGTAAACCCACAATGTCAAATGAATACTTTTACAAGTATTAAACATTTGAAAGAAGAAATAGCAATTATAGTTATAATTTTTATTATTTTTAAAGCATGTAACTGCTTGATGTTTAAATCTAAAGAAAATATAACTAGAAAAAATTCCACGCGGACCAGGCAGCAGACGGGACTCGAACCCGCACCCTTCGCAATCCGGGCGAATGCACTGACCAATTATGCTACCGCGGCCCTCACGGACCGCGTCGAAATTCTTTCTAGCTATTCTTAAGCTGCAAGGCAGCGCCATCTCTTCGCATTATAGGTAAACCCACAATGTCAAATGAATACTTTTACAAGTATTAAACATTTGAAAGAAGAAATAGCAATTATAGTTATAATTTTTATTATTTTTAAAGCATGTAACTGCTTGATAATTGCTATTTCTTCTTTCAAATGTTTAATACTTGTAAAAGTATTCATTTGACATTGTGGGTTTACCTATAATGCGAAGAGATGGCGCTGCCTTGCAGCTTAAGAATAGCTAGAAAGAATTTCGACGCGGTCCGTGAGGGCCGCGGTAGCATAATTGGTCAGTGCATTCGCCCGGATTGCGAAGGGTGCGGGTTCGAGTCCCGTCTGCTGCCTGGTCCGCGTGGAATTTTTTCTAGTTATATTTTCTTTAGATTTAAACATCAAGCAGTTACATGCTTTAAAAATAATAAAAATTATAACTATAATTGCTATTTCTTCTTTCAAATGTTTAATACTTGTAAAAGTATTCATTTGACATTGTGGGTTTACCTATAATGCGAAGAGATGGCGCTGCCTTGCAGCTTAAGAATAGCTAGAAAGAATTTCGACGCGGTCCGTGAGGGCCGCGGTAGCATAATTGGTCAGTGCATTCGCCCGGATTGCGAAGGGTGCGGGTTCGAGTCCCGTCTGCTGCCTGGTCCGCGTGGAATTTTTTCTAGTTATATTTTCTTTAGATTTAAACATCAAGCAGTTACATGCTTTAAAAATAATAAAAATTATAACTATAATTGCTATTTCTTCTTTCAAATGTTTAATACTTGTAAAAGTATTCATTTGACATTGTGGGTTTACCTATAATGCGAAGAGATGGCGCTGCCTTGCAGCTTAAGAATAGCTAGAAAGAATTTCGACGCGGTCCGTGAGGGCCGCGGTAGCATAATTGGTCAGTGCATTCGCCCGGATTGCGAAGGGTGCGGGTTCGAGTCCCGTCTGCTGCCTGGTCCGCGTGGAATTTTTTCTAGTTATATTTTCTTTAGATTTAAACATCAAGCAGTTACATGCTTTAAAAATAATAAAAATTATAATTTGTATTTAGTCATCAGTTCCTTATACTGGGTTCATACGAGCTGATTTAAATTGATTTTTTTTTATCGTTCAATGGATTTTTACAATTTAATTGCTTTAATTTAATTGAAAGTACGTTGAGACGGTTCAAATCGCATGCGATTTAGCAGTTGATCAACTAAAATCGTCTCGTGTGAACCCGGTATAAGCACGAAAGAATATCGAATTCGAATAGTTCAATGCGATCTTGGTACGCGTCAAACGTCAAAAAGTTTTTTTAGGAAAGATTTTCAATTCTCGTTAGGTCCGTTGTGGCGCGCTGTTCGAATCTCCATACAAAAGTTCTTGACATTTGACGCGTATCGTTTTCGAATTCAACTATTCATATAATCGATATCGGTTCGTACGAAGAATACCTACAGTACCCTTAGTACGAGTTTTACAATTACGAAAACTATGATAGTTTTCGTGAGCTCAAACTCGTACTTAGGGTACAGATAGGACTTAACCTCGATAAGCCGTGGTAGACTCCCTAAACGGGGACCCCGCGGCTTCGCGCTAAGCAGTGCAGAGGTATTCGCAGGACTTTTTTAGCGGATATTATACCGTAAAGCGCCCGTAAGAGTTGCGGGGTCCTCGGTGGGCAGCCACTAGGGGTCCGTAAGACTCGCGGGAGCCAGGTGTCAACGGACCTCCGTTCGGCGGTGTGCCTCTTAAAGGCGCCGTCGTCTGTAAAAAAATGGGTGCGTGTACTTATGTAGGCGCGTGAGAAGTTATCCTTCTTTGGCATCGTTTAAAATTAGTTTTTAATTGCATGCAAATAATTAATTACAATAAATTAATAAAAAGTCTGGAAAAGGACACAGTCAATAAAGTTCAGTTTTAATTTGAAAAAATAAATAAATAATCAAAATATTCAATTAAAATCGCTACTGAATATAATTTATTAGAACATATGTGATTTGCACTTGTGTGAAACTCAAACACGTATTCCGAATATACAAACTAGAAACATGTGGATAAATATTATAAATATGAATACCTATAACTGTTACTTTATTACAAAAAATAAAGATGTGGTTTTTGGTTCTACTACACCAATGGTCAAGAGATGGCGCTGTAGTCTCCTGAATCGCGCTTTGGTTCCGTTGTTCCAGATTAATAAATACTTTTGATATTATAAATATGAATACCTATAACTGTTACTTTATTACAAAAAATAAAGATGTGGTTTTTGTTTCTACTACACCAATGGTCAAGAGATGGCGCTGTAGTCTCCTGAATCGCGCTTCGGTTCCGTTGTTCCAGATTAATAAATACTTTTGATAGGCCTTCACAATGCAGTCGTTAGCAATGTGCGGTAAACAAAAGTACAAAGTAACAGTAACAAAAAAAACGCATAATCGCTAAAGCGACCAACTTCATGCTGTTAAAATTTTGTGTTACAGTGATGCGCGCGCATCTTAAAATTTCACTCTCATCATTTTTTCATAACGCGCCTAAAGAAGTATAATCTTTAAAAAGATTTTTTGCCTGCGTTAAAAAAAAAGGACTCAACATCGATGACGTAATTTTCACCACATCATTCGTAACTTTCACAGAGAGCAAGCACAGCGTAGCAGAGGTGCCTTTGCCCCTAGCATCGTCCGTATCGTCGCACAGCGCGGGCAAGATACGCGAGCACACTGCGGCTCCGGCCGTATCCCCGCACGCACACAACCACGCGCATTCCCAGTCGGCGTACGGCGCGGGAGTGGGAGTGGGCGCGGCGTTGTTCAACATCAAGAGCGAGCCGTGTGTGGGCGCGACCCCGGTGGGGGGGGGATACGACGCCTACGCCGCGCACGCGCACCACGCCGCGCACCACGCCGCGCACGCGCATTACCACCCGCAGCACCACTACCTGCACGCGCTACAGGTACACTACCTATAACAGTGGGCGCGACCCCGGTGGGGGGGGGATACGACGCCTACGCCGCGCACGCGCACCACGCCGCGCACCACGCCGCGCACGCGCATTACCACCCGCAGCACCACTACCTGCACGCGCTACAGGTACACTACCTATAACAGTGGGCGCGACCCCGGTGGGGGGGGGATACGACGCCTACGCCGCGCACGCGCACCACGCCGCGCACCACGCCGCGCACGCGCATTACCACCCGCAGCACCACTACCTGCACGCGCTACAGGTACACTACCTATAACAGTGGGCGCGACCCCGGTGGGGGGGGGATACGACGCCTACGCCGCGCACGCGCACCACGCCGCGCACCACGCCGCGCACGCGCATTACCACCCGCAGCACCACTACCTGCACGCGCTACAGGTACACTACCTATGTTGTTTTAAACCTTCATGGTCACTAACATTATAGCTAAAGAAAAGTTTACTAGAAAAAAATCCACGCGGACCAGGCAGCGGACGGGACTCGAACCCGCACCCTTCGCTATCCGGGCGATACCACGGCCCTATTCGCCGCGTCGAAATTTTCCCAGCCTTAAGCTGCAAGGCAGCGCCATCTCTTCGCATTGCAGGTAATCCACAATGTCAAACGAATACTTTTTCAAGTATTAAACATTTGAAAGAAGAAATAGCAATTATTCTTTAGATTTAAACATCTAGCAGTTAAATGCTTAAAAATAAATAAAAACATAACGTTATAGCTATTAACGGAATCGCTACCATGTACCTTTTTTTTTGTCTGAGAAATGCTTTACGCATCCTTCAACCACCGGGGGAGCGAGAAGAAGGTATGTGGTACTCCTCCCTGCTCATTTCAACCAGCCCTTAGGCCGGGTGAGATGAGCAGGGCCCTACCTAACGCCCTGAACAGGGCCACTAAAAACCAGACAATACTCCTATACCCGGCGTACATTCTGAGGACCGCAGTCCCCCCAATGCACGCCGGGAGTGCGGGTGTGATCGCGGCAACCGTTGCCGACTGTCCGCGCAAAAAAATGTTTGGTTAATTAGTGCCTTAACCAAATTTGTGTGTTCCATCCTTGTCAAGAGGAGTGCTAACCGTCTCTCCTTTCAATAGACACGCTACCATGTACCTTGTTTTTATGAGGCTCCGATATTTCGGCACTTCCGAGTCCCTTGAGACTCCGGTCTCCGATATTGTTGCAAGCACCATGATCGGTTCCTCCGTGATCGTGGCGCCTGCAACAGTGCCGAAATATTAATAATAATAATAATAATAATAAATATGTCCAACACTCACACCAATTAGCCTAGCCCCAAAGTAAGCACTGTAAGGCTTGTGTTATGGGATGCTAGGGTAACGGATAGAATACATATACTGTACATATATAAGTATATTTTTTTATAGAAATACATATTAAACATCCATGACTGGAGTACAAATACTCGTATTCATCACACAAACATCTGCCCCCACCGGGATTCGAACCCGGGACCTCTCGAGTCTGCGACACCATGAAACCCGGCGTATAAACCACTCAACCACGGAGGTCGTCAAAATATTGGTACATATCAATCGGAAATACAAGTTAACGATCCCATTGATAGCTATAAAACTACCTACCTATATTCTCTTTACTAAAGCTGCACTTGAAGGAGTCAATAACTTTTAAATTTTACAAAATTTGTAGTAGGAGAGCCCGGGCAAGGATTTTCGGATTTACTCGAGCGTGACAGAATAACATAAGGGGGCACCAGTGGCGGACTAAGCCAATCAGAGGCCCGGGGCGGCAAAGCAGAATGAGGCCCCCAGCTTTTAAAAAAAAATAGTTTCCTATGTTTATTTAGTTAAATCTGGCAAGTGAAATTTAAATTAGAATTAAATTATTTCGGCAAAATAAACATACATACCTACAATATGGAATGGATATGGGTAGGAAAATCAAATACGTCAAAAAAAATACTAAAAGAAATCAAAGATAGTTTTTTTTTATTTTTGGTAGCGTTTATATGTGTTTTCGTGCCTTCAATTTACTGAACTCTGGCCGCGGTAGCATAATTGATCAGTGCTTTCGTCCGGATTGCGAAGGGTGCGGGTTCGAGTCTCGTCTGCTGCCTGGTCCGCATGGAATTTTTTCAAGTTCTATTTTCTTAACATTTTGACGTGACAACGTCTTAAATTAGGTTGCGGCTGGGAGTCACTTATGAAAAAGTGTAACGCTCGGTAACGTTACGATGAGTCTCTCGTGTTAAGTTTAAGTTTACATGTACAATATTTTAGTAAACAAAATATATTTCTATAGTTAAAATTTGTGCAATTCTTATTTTCATTCAATTCCTTGTTCCTATTGTGCAATTTAATTATATTCATATCAATAAATATTCTACCGAGAAAAAGACGTTGTCACGTAAAATCTTCGCCCGTAAAACCGACTTTACAGGCAACCATTTTTTAAAGTTATGTTTAGGTTCTGATCAGGGGAATTCGGAGACATTTGGGGGCTTCCCAAGATCGGAGGCCCGGGGCGGGCCGCCCCTTCCGCCCCCCTGTTAGTCCGCCACTGGGGGGCACCCTTGCACCTTGTGAAGTACTCCCACCACACCAAGCCTTCTAAGTACGGCCAAACTTCTAAGGCAGCAAAAACAAACTTCAACAAACGTCCATGACTTTTGGTGCGTCCTGTTTTAACCCGACTTAGCAACCATAAAATGCTAATTCAACAATGTGTATAACTGTAATTTTCCATAGCATTAAACTGCAGAGTTGCATTAACACAGCCCTCACATTATTTCATCAATTCCCACAGTCAGTTAAACTTCGGCAACGAGAAAGAACTTGGTAGATACTCGAGTTCGCGTGTGTAATTGTGTAATTAATTTCCACTAAATTCGTATCCGGGAACTTTGTTTTTTTTTAAAACGAACAGCACCGGCCTCCTGACAGTCCGAAATTTGGACGTGATAATTCGGACTCACCAGTGTTTTGAATAAAAGCTACTTTACGTAAAATGACTTCTCGATGTCTAAAGTGCTCGAATATTTGTTTCCTATATTCTACTCCTTCGTACAGCCACCCCACACAATGCGAACCGATAGATTAAAAGTTTTTCCGTCATCAGGAACGTTACGTAAACCCTCTAATCGCCTCTATTAAGAAACTGACGATTAATTCATTGCCATTTTTCTGCCGCGCAAGAGTAAATACCGAAATCCCCGTTTGAACTCTTCTACTAAAAATGCTGCCACTTCACTTCAAATCAATCAATCAAATCATTTATTCGTTGTCATCGGTAACAATAAGTTTTTAAAATTTATATAAATGTGCCTTCATGACATGCTCAACAGCATACGAAAATTTGTTATCATTTTAAATTCAATAAAATAGTAATCATCATCTATACTTATAATAAATCTGTAGAGATGTCAATTCTGTACATGAAATATATTTTTAAAATAACTATCAGGGGGTGATTAGTGATCGATACTGATGCCAAAAATGCAACCAGTATTTTTTTTGTCTGTCTGTCTGTCTGTGTGTATGTTCCTTATAGAAACAAAAACTACTCGACGGATTTTAACGAAACTTGGTACAATTATTCTTCATACTCCTGGGCAGGTTATAGTATACTTTTCATCACGCTACAATCAATAGGAGCAGAGTAGTGAAGGGAAATGTTGGGAAAACGGGAGAAGTTACTTCATTTTTTAAGCTTCCGTCGGGTGTGCAGCCTTAATGGTTAAAGTTACATAGAAATCATGTATGACGGAAATATTCTACATAAAATTTTCTAAAAAATATCTCGCAACAGCATATGTCTATCTTTTATGGTTGACTCACAATAACACGTGTAATTATATAAATAAAGTCATTGTTTATTGCACAAGCCTGAGAACAAAAACTATAGTTTACACTACAGCTCTACACCGAAGCGAAGCGAGGGCGGGCCACTAGTAAGTAATAAAAGAATCAATACATTAATCTATACATACTCGTAAATAAAAAAAAATAAACGACATTATAATGAGACATGAATAAACTTAGCCAACACTTGACTTATTAAGCTTTAATTTGGCTTTTCTAAGTACGCCTGTAAAAAAGCATGACAAATAAGCATGGTTATGTTCCGCGCGATGGTAGTTTACCATCAGACGGGTACTTACATGACGACTACGTCAAATACCCGTAGGATAAGAGTGCGAAGACCCGTTCACACACGACACGCTATACCAGGTACAAGTTCGTACCTGGGCGTTTTTCCCCGCCCCCCACGACAACGGCTAACTAGAGCCGAGGTCCGAGTCTCAGAGATGCCCTCTAGTTGAGCCGACCCCCTCAGGTTCGGCTGAGGCTCCAGACGGAGAGGAGACTTCCCCCGTGGGAAGATGCCATCCGCCTGGAATACCTCTAGATGCACTCGCCGATTCTCGGCTTGAGGTCCCCTCAGGATCTCGCTGTCCCCAAACCCGGTGACGCTGTAAAGGTCATCTGTGACATGAGCATACATACTAAAAAAAACGAACGAGCCTTACAGTAGTCGCGTATGATGTGTAACATTTGAAACCTCACTTTATATTAGTAAAAAAAGAAATAAAACCTACTACAAAAGGAATAAGCCATTTGATTGCCAATATGTTCTAAAATCAAATCCGCGCGCTTTCTCGACTTCCTGTTACACACTTCCGTCCCATTTCACGAAATCACTCCCACAAATTGCAAGAAAGCGAGAGGAAAGATGTTACTCATCAAAAAGAGTACCACACATTGCAGCACCCATATAAGATTGATAACTACCGGGCGTAGGTGTCCAAACCACCAAATTAAATTACCCAAATGATAATATAACATAGGTATTATCATGTTTTTCTTTCATTGATTCTGTTCTTGAACTTCTCCCAAATAGCTGGACCTATTTTGATCTTTTTTTTTGTTATGGACATTGGAGTAAGTCCCTGAATGACTAAGAGCCACATGGACTAGTAGATGACACTGCAGTCGGGTTCTAGGAATTGTCGTAATATTTTCAGACACCACTATATCTATCAGATCTGCTAATATCATACAACAAACTCTAATTAAGTTACCCAAAATAAAAACTGTCATAAATGACAAACTAAAATTCCCTTTGCACCATTTCAGTATGGCCTAAGCAACGGTGAGGAAGAAGAGGGTAGCGGGTTCCTGCACCAACGCAACGTGACCGCACACGCCAAGCTCATGGCCTCCACGTAGCGACGACGGGACATACTCCTAGTGCCCCACCGATGGGACAAATCCTCGCAGTGCTTCCACGAGTCAGTCCACCCGTAGACTGAGAACAACTGCCCCTAGACACACTATGTGTGATACTTATACACCTACTTATAAATAAATAATTCTGTAAATGTAATTACTGTGATCAGGCCGACTTTACGGGACTGTGGCCTACAATAGAGATAAAAAATAACAATATTATGAAGGGCTTCCCGCACTTCAAACTTCGGCCCGACTGTGATGCTTGTGCTTCACATGGCGATTCGTTAGGTATTTGTCATTTTGACAGCAGGTTGTCCTTATCACTCTTTAAGGAGTGAAAAAGAGAGACTATTGCCAAGTTTACAAATACCAAATACGAATACCCATATGAAGAGCTGGCATAAAATGGAGAAGTATATGTGTATTTATAACGACAAGAGTGATCTCCGCCACGCTTTTTTAATATTAAAATACATTTCGTTGCCGTATAGATTCGACCGCGGTAACTATTGTAAAATGTTCATTGTAAATACTAGCTTTAATCATTAAGCTATGCTCTGTATGATAATAGGTATGATTAGGTGTAACGATCAGGCTGTATTATGCCAGAAACATATTAACGTGTCGTGTCGTGTCGTGGCGCGCCAGAAGCACATCGGTTTCATACATTTACTATAGTTACAGACATATTTACGTATCGTGTCGTGTCGACGCTTTAACCTCTCTATCTCTCTCTAACCCATAATAAATGTATGAAACCGATGCGCCACGTCACGCCACGACACGTTAATATGTTTCTGGCTTTAGTTGTACGCCGCGGAGTGGCCGTAGGTGATGCCTACAGACTGAAACTGTGTTAAGTATTATTGATAAATCGTAGTTAAAGTAGAAACTGAGTCTCCATATCTGAAGTAATACTAGTCTCAGGCAATCAAGATAGAAATATATAAAAGTTAGTTCACAAAAATGTAAGTCCTTGATTAAATCGGAATAACAGGACAGAATTTCTCTAAATAAATTTTGATTAAACAAATACTTTGCTACATTTGTTTTTTGCAACATTGTGAAATATTTATCTTTAACTAAAATTATTACATTATTTGCTGCAGCATCTAATTGAGGAGCTGGCAAATAAAGCGGTATCTTCTTCTTCTTCTTCCTCAACCACTATCCACCCACTGCTGAGTGAAGGTCTCTTCCATTGCACTCCATCTATTGCGATCTCGGGCAGACTGCATCCATTTCGCTCCGGCTATCCTAATGATGTCATCTGTCCAACGGGCTGGTTGACGCCCCACGTTTCTGCGTCCGGTTCTCGGCCTCCATTCCATTACCTTTCTGCTCCACCTGCCATCCTCGCGTCTACAGACATGTCCCGCCCATTTCCATTTGCTGCGGGATATTACACAAGCGATGTCAGGTAACTTTGTCGTTCTTCGAATGACCTCATTTCTGATTCGGTCTCTTCGAGAAATGCCCAACATCGCCCGCTCCATGTCCCGCTGCGCAACTTGAAGTTGGTGTAAATGTTGCTTTGTGATGGTCCATGTTTCGGCACCATAAGTCATGACTGGAAGAACACATTACTCATAGACACGGCGTTTGAGGTTTATTGGGATATTTCTCTTGAAAACATCGTTCAGTTTGCCAAACGCCGCCCATCCTAATTGTATACGACGTTGGATCTCGCGAACCTGTGTTTTCTTCCCCAGAGAAATTGTTTGGTCTAAATGTGTATTGGCCTATGTTGTCTATCCTACCACCATTCACAACTATATGATCTGTCTCTTTTGTCATTATTTTTGTTTTGGAGGTGTTCATCTTTAGTCCGACGCGGAGAGAAGCTGTGTATAAATCATTTAGCATTGTCAAAGCAGTATAATTACATAAAATGAAATTTTACAGGAGCTATATAAAACTGAATGACATACCTCCAGTGAGCTTTTGGCATGGTTTTAATTTATAAATTTACTAATTTATCACTATTTTAGGCGGTTTTGATTGAAAATTATTTAAGACCCAAATTCAACTTGCCCGAAATCTCCCGACTGTAAAAAACGTAGTTTCACCAGATGCGTAATTATACCGTCTTGTTTGCCAGCTCCTGATATAGTACTTTTCTAGCTTTCTTTATAAGAAATGTGAAGTACCTGTATCATGACTTTGGTTTAAATGATAGTACAACACTTACACATTGATAAGTTATAGATACGAGAATTCCAGTTGAATTTTCATTTAAATCAACAGTAAAACACAGCAACACGTCTTGATCCTATGACATCTTGCCTTATTGTAAATAATTAGATAAAGTAGTAACATTAATCAGTATTGTTTATTATCACATGAATATCAAAATAATTTAAAATTAAACATAAGACAAAGATTTAAATAACTAGTAACAAGTGCTTTACCACAATACATTTTCAAAAACATTGCCAGTTAAGTTAGTGTTAAGCAAAATAAATTGCATTTATAACATAGTTGTAAATATTATTTTAAAGTTTAGAGAAACTGTTTTTGTGAATTTATAAACAATCTTTGTTTTGAACCATCAGTGCACAGATTTTATCACAGAACATTGATATTATGCTAATTTTTGTAACAATCAACAAGAAGTATTTGTACAAAAATGACTATATTATATGGAATATATATTTGAGCACAGCATGTAGTTTTCAAGCCTCCCCTCCCTCATTGGAAGCGTTCCGGAGCGCCTCCCCAGTTAAGCGGTAATAGCACCATTTCTCGGAGTTGGTCAAGTTTACAGCTCCTTTAGCATCATAGAAAGACCGGGCCGGGTTCCACTCCAGGACATGGAAATCTAAACGTGAACACCCAGTGGTCGAAGCTTCCTGGAAATAAAATATTGAATGAGACTTCATTAAGCCATCTTTTGAAATATTTCAAAGGGGTTTTAAAATGTATGTAAGTAAAACAAAGTACAAAATATAGAATACAAACCTTAGCAACAGCATTGAAAAGTCTTTTCCCAACACCACGCTTACGCTCACTGTTTTTCACGTACAAATCTTCAAGCATCATAGAACGCCCTTCCCATGTGGAGTATGTGGGGAAATACAGAGCATATCCGATCACTGGCTGGTCCACAGCTCCTTTCAACTCTGCTATCTTGCACCGAAAGGCCGGCGGGCTAACCTCAAATCCGTCACGCTCCAACTCTGCAGATTAAGTTAAATTTTAAAACTATGACACAAATAACACTTTTTAAAAAAACTAGAAAAATATATGCGAACCTCTCACCGACATTTTAGGACCTTGGGGCATCTCTTCAAAATCGGCGAGTTCCTGTTATTAACGATGTCCGAGTTAACAAAAAATATTTATTTATGTTCTAAGATACTGATCAATAATATTTATATGGATAGGTAATGTAATTCTTCTAAATTCTACTTACAAGTAAATTACCTATCAGTAAATCAAATCTAAAGTTGGTCCATATTTTCAAACCTGAATCATTTCGGTAACAGCCTTCATATCCTCCTTTTTAGCTGGGCGTATTTGTATTTCTTTGTCATTATATTGCTGGTTCGTCTTAACTTCATTCATTTTTTATTTATTTCTATTTAGAATTCTATTTTAAAATTAAAAAAGTAGCCAAGGGAGCTACTATAAACTTTGTTTTTTTTCTCCCTTTTTGGGAAAGCAAATGGACAATGCCCATACAGCCTCCTCTTCAGTTATATGAAGTCTTTTTTTTGACGTTACAATGTCGGTGTGACGCATTCTATTATTTTTTGGAGTTTTTGGCACGAAATTTATCAAGTTGGCTTTTTCGATAGCTTCTGTGAGGTAGTCAACACTACAGTAAAGATCTCACGTCCACTTGACCAAAATAACGTATATTTTAAAGATTCCACTAATTCTTCAGTCGCTTAGATGATTGTAACACAAAATCACAACAATTTTATTTCACAATATCCACAATGAACGAACTTAAGAATAATTAAAATAAGAAGCCAACCGCACTCGATGAAATCCCGCCAAAAAACCCTTTAAAATTATACTTTGTTTTACCACAGACTTTAGAATTTAAAGGAGCAGACCAAACATTAGAGGTTGAATAGCACGGCAAAACTAACACACCCAAATACCACACTCACTAACGCAATTACAGCCCTCGCGCGTCGTTCGGCAGATTCGCTATAGGACAGAAACTTGATAAGGCAGAAGCTGGATTGGGCAGAATCGTGTTTTGGCAGAGTACAGTCAGGATGTTAATAATATTATTATGATGTAAATTCTTTGGTTTATCTTATCATTAATAATGGCCACTTATGGTTTATGGTGACATGACAAATTATATATTTTACAATGACATTGTTATAGTCAAGTCAGTATTTTTTCATTGTATTATCTGAGATATAATTGAATTTAATTTATTATGATGGATGATGCGGGCCCACGTACAGAAAGTGAAAATTTGAAAATTATTCGCAGTAAACGAGGTAAGCCAGTGCTTCTACACGACGGTTTTCGCTATAATTTCGTAATGAAAAACAAATCTGGTACAAGTAATTGGAGATGCTACAATAAAACGGAATGTAATACATCAATCACGCTGGATTCAAAAGATCAAATTTTAAGAAAAGCAAATCATTCATGTGTTCCGAACAAAATAAAAAACGTTATTGATGAAATTATGGATGAATGTAAAAATCAAGTATGTCTCAATTTGGAACCTATACCAAAAGTTTTCGAAGACTATATTAACAGCATAAAGCATGATGTTCAAAAGGAATATTTACCAAAATATGAAAGCGTGAAAGATATGCTGAGAAAGGCAAGATTAGACTACTTACATTGCAAGACTCTTACATTTAAAAGACGTGAAGATATAAGACTGCCGGACGTCCTCGTCAAGGATTTTTTTTTATATGATTGTGGAAATGAAGACAAAATTCTAATTGTCGGAACGCCGTTAGCAAAAAAATATTTTAAAAAATTCAGCAGGTTTTACGGCGATGGTACTTTTAGAGTTGTGCCCAAACTTTTTTATCAATTATATACGTTACATGTCGATTTAGCAGAAGATGATGATGTTAATTTTGTACCATTGTTGTACATATTATTACCAGACAAGAAAGAAGAAACCTATAAAAGAATATTTACAATTTTAAAGCATCAATTTTCAATTAATATTGAATATTACAAATGCGATTATGAGCTAGCCGCAATTAACGCTGTGAAATCAATATTTCCTGAAGTAAAGGTATCAGGGTGCTTTTACCATTTTTCTAATGCGGTGTGGAAAATGAGCAAGAAGCTTAACTTTGATAGCGTCAAAGTAAAAATTGACGACGAAGAAAAAAATATGACACTTTTATACATCCAGCTGGCATTACTTCCTCCTAATTTTATACCAGAAGGATATTTCGAGCTTTTTTACATGGGTCCTGAATCCGAAGAATTTAATAAATTCAACGATTATTTCCGAAGGCAGTGGATGGAGATTATCACTTCTGATACCTTTAGTTGCTATAAAGAGAAATTTCGCACGACGAATGCGGTCGAAGGATGGCATAGACGCATCAACGCTCGCATTACAGAACGGCCATCAATTTTTCTGTTTATACAGAAAATTAAAAAGGAAGCAGCATTTCAAGACCGAAAAATTGCAAGAAAAGAAATTTATCAAAAAGGAAAGCGGCGACAAAATTCTATGGTACAAAAAAATTGTAGCATTGATAAAATTATAAACGGACTTTTAAAACAGGACTATAACATAATTGAGTGTTTAAGACGGCTATCTTGTGTTAAGTAGAATAAATAAAAGTGCTTCTAAACGGGGAATGTTATTCAAATAATATGCAATAATAATAAATGTCTTTAAATAACTAAGTAAGTTTTCTTTTGAGTGTACCACAACTGCCAAAACACGATTCTGCCCAATCCAGCTTCTGCCTTATCAAGTTTCTGTCCTATAGCGAATCTGCCGAACGACGCGCGAAGGAATTACAGGGCCGCGCGGCCGGAGTTAATCTCCTAGTTCAATGAGATATAATAGTGAAAATAGTATCTTAGTAGCAAAATTCTGTGTTTAAAGGTAACGAAGAACCTTCTAAGCCGTGCAAAGGTTTTTCATACGATTGTACTTGAATTGACTTTTTATTTTTTAGCAAAGCAAAAGTAGGTACTTACTCTTAAACATACCTACTGCCTTGAAAAAAAGACATATGTTCTTAATAAAATAAAGAAATGCATTGATAAATTACTCATTGTAATTCCAAGGCATTAACAAGTTATCCAGATCGGAAACCTATGTTTTTAAGCAGGCTCGTGTCGTTTCATGATTATTTAGCAGTAAATTGTGCAGGTTTCTAAAATTGGGATAAATAATCTCAGAAAAAACCGTTATATTTTGTTTTTAATAACAAATAAATGAAGTAAATTGTTTAAAATATCTCCTTCAACTTAATAATGACTTGGTTCTTTAGTAGTAACTCACTGATGTCCATATACGTCTCCTCCTCATTAAAATATTTAGATTTTGGACTTGATTGATGAACGGCTCATTCATGGGCGCCAGGTGGGGGGTGCAATGGGATTCATTTGGAAAGAAACTACCCAACAATACCAGTGGGAAACAACATTTTACATAATTGTAATATGAGAAATTATATATTAAATTATACGAGAAATATATTATTATATATAAACTAGCTGACCCAGCGAACTTTGTACCGCCATAAAAATTGCGGCAGGTGGTAGAAGAGAAAATTTAGGTTTGTATGTATTTTTTAATACCAACATTATAAAAAAAAATTGTCCAGAAAAAAATGGTTGCCTGTAAAGTCGGTTTTACGGGCGAAGATTTTACGTGACAACGTCTTTTTCTCGGTAGAATATTTATTGATATGAATATAATTAAATTGCACAATAGGAACAAGGAATTGAATGAAAATAAGAATTGCACAAATTTTAACTATAGAAATATATTTTGTTTACTAAAACATTGTACATGTAAACTTAAACTTAACACGAGAGACTCATCGTAACGTTACCGAGCGTTACACTTTTTCATAAGTGACTCCCAGCCGCAACCTAATTTAAGACGTTGTCACGTCAAAACAAATAAGGGGTGTGTAACGTAGTGTTCTATCAATTTCCTCGGATAACATTCCTCCTAACCCATATGAGAACACTACGTTACAATACCCAATACTATAAATTTTGACGCGAAGGCGCATTGTAGGTTTCAGGTTTCAGAACACTCGTTACAGGTGGACAACCATTATCACTTAAGGATATGAAAAATAGATATGTGTCAGAATACCAAATTGAATTTGACAACTCTATCTAGTTTTAGATATAAGTTGGCACGCCAGAATTGGGCCCAGTAGCCGATTCTCAGACCCACGGAATATGCATATAAAATTTAATAAAAATCGATCAGGCCGTTTCGGAGGAGTATGGTGACTACCATTGTGACACGGGAATTTTATATATAAGATTATCAGGTTTGGTTGGAGTGACGACAAGCGTCAAGCTTTTGATGACTGCTCTGCTTTTTCCCAAAATGGTGTCGCAACCAACTCGCCTTCCAGATATTGAGAGCCGTGAACCATCCTGTTGGATCCGCTTTTAACGACAACCAGACGAACACAAAGTAGTGGTCGATGTCCCATAAGGTCGTCATCATTGCCCGATTCGTTCTACAGACCCCGTTGCGTGGTACCAGCTAATCGTTTTGGCAGTCGGGCAATATAAGTTGGCAGATTGGAATAGTCTTCGAGAATTCTATGAACCTGACACATGTGCCGATTGTGGAGTGACATGGTAATTATTTGGGTGGATTTATTCATTCTCAACCATAGCATAACCGTTTGGGGCCGCAG